GTTAAGGTAGATTCAGGTTTGACCCCAGTTCTGAGCCTGGGTCTCCTCCACAAAAGTCTTAGAGCACTCCGAAGCCAGCTGCCACCTGCCTGGGGTTTGCAGACCACACATTGTTGTCCAACACTAGCTACCTACCAGCTGGGAAAAAAACCTCTGACATTGTGCAAGTTGGGTGGGGCAGAGTCCCAGGGTGTCAGCAGGGTGGAATGAGCAGAGCTCAGCAAGCCAATTAAAATTCAGTTTTGGACATGTGGGTGATGGCTCAACACAGGAAAGATGGCACCCACCATCTGGCTACATGGGAGGAGGGCTCAACACACAGGTAATGGTGGCCTTCCCTCCAACCCTTGCTCTGAAACCACACAACTCAGTCTCTTCCGGTATGTCTGTGGCACCTCCCTAGCCTCAGTCTCTCTGCTGAAGCCCAGGGTTAGTGCCTGCTGAGTGCCCAGGAAGTGAGAGTCTGTATGTCGGCCCTTTAAGTGCACGCTTAGGTTTTCAGCCACCTTCCGTCTCACCCTCTCAGACAGTATTTCTGCTGATATCACAGCCAGATGCCATGGTGGCTCCTCTTCCCATCACTGATTCTTTGGGCTAGCGAGCCTGGTGTGGGACTGGGACCCCTCACCCTTTAGGGGGGGTACTCTGCAGCTGAGATACCTCTCCTGATTCGACCGCCACATGTGGGTGTAGGGTCAGCCCATTTTGCCTTTCTGCCTCTCCTACCTATCTTGAGGTGGCTTCTTCTTTATATCCTGAGTTATAAGACTTCTTTTCAGCTAGTTTTTGGATGGTTTTCCAGGTTGATTGTTCTATAATTTATTTACAATTTTAATGTGGTCATGGGAGGAGTTAAGCACAACCTTCACCTACTTTGCCATCTTGACCAGAACTCTTGGAGTTTTACTTTTAAAACAGTGGTAATTTTATTGTCAACTTTACAAATGCCAAATAATATAATGAGGTATCACTCATGAGCTTTATAATATTTTTAATTTAGAGTATAAAAATTGATCAGTATGTCTGAGTAATAGACATTTTAGCTGTCAATAAATAATGTATGTATACAAGGATGTTACCGTGAAATAAACATATTTTCAAATTGTACTAATTGCCAGCCTGTTTTACATAGCCAAGGTGATGGAGTAAAGGAATGGAATGATTCTGTTTGTGTTATCCTACCACATATGAGTGCTCTCCTCTCTATTTCTCCTTATCTGGAAAAGCCATATACTTAAAAGGCCTTTCACTGATTTGCTTCTTCCAACCCTGAGTGAATCTTCTTCCATGGCTTGAGATCCTTGAAAGAGCCATCCTTGCAAAGTTTTGTTTTCCCAAGCCTCATTTTTCTCTAAGAGCAGATAGAAAAGTAGGTGTAGATCTGGCACCATGTCCTGGTGTCTGTGAAAGAGAAATAGAGAGAAGAGTAGAGAGAAAGATAGAAGAATGTGGGGAAAGGAGCAAAAGCAAAATAAAGAAACAAGATATGAGCATTGTGGACTCTTTATAATGTCTTCCCAAAAGAAAAAAAGGGGGAATAAAATTAAAGCCTTTAAGAATGATTAAGCATACCTCATTCTATTCAAACCCTGTTTCAGTACAAATACCGAGGACAAAAAGCAGATCTTTTCAGGTTTGTGAACCTGATTTCTTAAGAAACAAATTTTGAATTTTAGGTAGGCCATGGTTATTGGCTTTAGTGTTTTCCAACACCTTTCAGGATGTTGAACAAAGGAAACATTCCATCTATGGTATTAGTAATAGTAGCAATGATAATAATACTGCCCATTAATTGAGCACCTATTATATATACTAGGCATTGTTCTTTATGATGTTTCTAATGTATCTATCATTATTTTAATTTGAAGATGAAAAACCTGAAGCTCAGAAATGTAAAATAACTTGTCCAAGCATAAAAAATGGAGGAACCTAGTGTGCTTAATAACAATATGCAAATTCAACTACAATGGGTATTGAGCTTCCTCAACCCTAATTTATTTCCCACACATCAATAAATCTAGGTCTCTTACTTTGTGTAAACATGTGCTGTTGAAAGACTCTGGAGATCATTCTATATCGAGGAAGAAATACACACCAGACATGGCAGTTGGATGTTTTTACTGGCTTTCCAAATGGAAATTTCTAGGCATGTGTTTACAGGTGAAATGCTGCTGTACTCTTGGGTTAAAGTTCTTGACTAAATAACAATGTGGAATTCATAGTTGGTGCTCAATAACCATTTGAGTACACAACATTGCAATCCTGAAAGAGTCCTAAAACTTTAACATGAGTAAAATTAATTTTCTTCTTTAAAGGACTATAAAAAAAGGATTTTGCTGGTGTGGGTTTTTTATCTATTTGCATAATTCAAGGAGGGACACCCTCCTCATTTGAACAGATTTGGGATCGATGGTTTTGGACAAGTTGATTCTCAAGGCAAGCATGAATCATTAAAAAAAAGTTCCCCTCAGAGCATTTTTTTCTGCAGTCTAGATATTGTAAACCATTACTCATAAATCTTTAGAGCTATGTCTTTTCTCATCAATATAAACTAATCTTATAAACTGATTTCCACCTTATTTTTGCCTAAAGTCAGGCAAAAGTGATTTTAAAAAGAATATGTAAGATAGCAAAGCTAAGTTGTTATTTAGTAGCTTAAGTATAGAAGAGGTACAATAAAAAACATTATTTGGAAAAGGTGTACAATAATATCTTATTACCATGGTATAATTATAGAAAGTTCAGCTCCAGCTTTGGGAACAAATTTTCAAAATTTTATCTTTGGAGTCAATTTGTGAAGAGAAAAGAAGCAACATGAAAGGGTTGCAGCGTTTGTGTCTGTGCACAAAAGTACACATTGGGTCCAACAAATCGCAATGTTGGAATTTGCCAGTATAAGTAATAGATGCTGTAAGCCTCCCGGTTTTCATGAAGGTAAGCAGCTTGATGGCTCCCGTCATCTTTGCTAAAACACAGGTGCCAAGTCTGTATGGACAGTTTCATATGTGTCTTAGGAGCCAGGTTCTTTGCTGATGTGTGCCAGGCTCCATTCTACTGTCCCCTTGATGGTGAGTTTCAGAAACACTGGAGACTGTCTGTGCAAAAAGGAGTTGCCAGCTTTAGTTCCCAGCAAACAACACATTGACATGTTGAGTAGAGGAGAGAGAAGCTGTTGGGGAAAGTTAGTTATTAGTACCTGAGTTTTGGAGAAGGTGCTGACCTCTTGTACTTACTTTAGGGGCAAGCCACGGTATCAGTGAGCTACATCCTGATCAGAAGCTAAAGAACGTGAGCACTCTTTTGAGTTTACTTTGCATTACCAACCTCTGTCAGTTCTCACTGATCTGGAATTTCAGTATGTCCTAGCTTGGGCCTAGATAAATGGCTGCCAGTTGTCTAGCCTGTTTCATTTCCTTTAGCTATGTCTGCAAGAATATTGGCTCTTTAAGCAGGTCACTTGGTTTTCAAAATAAATAGGAGGTGAAACATGATCAGTATGATAATATATGTTTCCAAATGCCTCCCTTTTGACAAAAGTAATTTTGGAATAATCTCAACTGGTTCATTTCCCTTTATCATTTTTCTTAGTACAATAAAAACTTGCAAAGAAGTTCAATTATGGGAAACAATTAAAAATTCAGATTGCAAAGAGAAGACATGAGATTTGCCTGAAACAGGTGCTGGCACAGATGGCCCGCTCACAAGTGCTGACTTTATTTACAGCATTTAAACACAGACAGATAAATTGACAAAAATGTTTCTAGATTTTATAATGTGCTGAATGCCCAAATTTGGCCATAAACTTACATTAACTTGTAAATGATTCAATTTAAAACCTGACCTCCCAAGTCACCAATAGCCTTAAGAAGACCATTTGTCTGGCCTGTCATTTGCACATTTGTGTGAATTGATTATTTAATCTTTGCTGTTGGTTGGGTATACTTTGTTTATTGCCTTGATCATTTAATGACTGTCTATTATTAAGGGGGGAGAGAACTCTCTCATGTTAAATTGTACGTAGGCTGATGGTTAGATATTTCCAACCTCATTGTCCTTTCTTGAAGGATAATTATGCTCTCTATTTCTTACTAGCCTTGGGGTGAGGTATTTGATGAGAATAGCAAAATAGATGACATGAAACCCAAATGAAACTATCTTCAGGCAGAAGTTAATGGTGCTCTGCCATTGATGAAAAATATCTGAAGGAACCGTAGTATATTTTTAGCCTGCATCATTCTGTCTTAGATGCAGTCTAAGATTTGGCATGGGTACACCAAATATTAAAATCATGGTAGAATGAGTATTAAAAGGTACCAGAAAATGAGGACTAATATGCATTCCTGAATTGGTTTGTATTAAGGTATTGGTTTATCTATATCCCAGTCTCTTGTTTCTGAAGGGTTGAAAAACTGTAGGCAAAGGAAATTGAGACCAATTCTGTATTCATCAAGGAAAATATTTCGGAAGTGGAAGTATGAAATGTTACTTTCTGTATTTGTACACAGGATTCATAGAAGGGTCTGTTGGGTAGATTATAAGAAGGCTCCTTACTAACACAACACCCTGCTCCCCATGCTTCACAAAACTGTGCAACTTCCCTGTGTGTGCTTATGTGCAAAATTATGTGCAAAATTATTAACAGTCTTGATCTTACATCTTGAGATTAATGTTCATTATGTGAATCTTTCCTCTGGATACAGTCCATGTTTTATGTATTAGAACTGCAGGGCAGATGATTCCTTGGTACTTGGGTAACTATAATGATTGAATGTAATTTTTTTTAAGGCTTTTTCATTCCGAGTTGGGATTTGTTTCATCAAAGGATGCAGGGTCATGGGAGGGGATGTGTGTCAATGTAATATGTCATTATTTTCCTTTAACCCGCTTACGTGATTTGCTTTAGTATTTTTTTCTTCTTAATTAATGCTTCCATCTTCATCCTTGCTGTGGCTGCTCATGTGTCCTCCTCCTCCTCCTGTCTTCTGCTTCTGACACTAAAGCCCGCAGCCCGCTTGAGAACTCAGTGGCCTGCCTAGCAACCCGCACCTTGGATGATGACCCCCGAGTGCGGCGCACTCCCAGCGTGGGATGGCTAAGTAAGTCAATGACTGGGGAAAGGGCAAGGATGGTGGCGGTGGTGGGCAGTGGGAGGGCAGGCGACTGGCTCCTGGTTACTGAGTGTAGGGCATCCTCAAGAATGCCTGAAAGGGTAAGGCTTGCAGACCCCCAAACTCACAATTACTGATTCAGCCCTTCTACTACCAAATAGAATACAATAATAGTGTATTCTCTGGGTGACCTGCCATCCTGAATTTAACTTCAGTGCCTTGTTAGGCAGTGCAAAGAGTCTGAGATGAAGGGATAGGCTTGGCACTGGCAGCACTGTCTCCATGGAGCACTTCTCAGAATGTGGTTTGCTCATGAGTGTAATGATTCTGGACCTTCTTACATCAGAGGATTGTAAGGAAGATACTTGAGATGAGATCTCTGAAGGTGTTTTGAAAGCATTCAGGTGTTGGCTAAGAGGAAGAACTTGCTAAGTTTATGGTGTAAAAAGAAAACAAAATACCTGTTACATGTTAGAAAGGAAGTAGGTGCTCTGGACAATGAAAAAATAGCATAAGATAGAATCTTTATTTATTTTTTTCTTTTTCTTTTTTAAAAATATTTTTTATTGGGGAACAGTGTGTTTTTTTAGGACCCATCAGCTCCAAGTCAAGTCGTTTTCAATCTAATTGTGGTGGGTGCAGCTCACTGGCCCATGTGGGAATCGAACTGGCAACCTTGGTGTTATGAGCCCATGTTTTAACCACCTGAGCCAACAGACTGCCCTAGAATCTTTATTTTTTTAAAAATAAAAAGCTTTGTTAAATTGGCAGGATTTAAATACCTAAAACACAAAGAACATGCACAAAAAAACTACATGGACTTTCCCCTAATATTTTCAAATTTGATTATGTGTGACATACATTTCTTTTAGTTGTCAAGAAACCCGTCCATGGTGACATTCAGCTTTTAAGGTTTATTATTACCTTTCTTATAATAAACCTATTGATTTAATTAAGCTTTTTACTAGATTAGTAGGAGGAAATTCTACTTTCCTAGGAAGATGTCTTTCTCTCATGACTAAATAGGGAAGTTTAAGTTCATCCTAAAATTGTGTTCATTGTGCTACATTCTTCCAGAGCTTTTCTTGGGGCCAATTTGACATTTTAAGAAACTGTATTAGTAATCTCTGTGTCCAGTAGGGACATAAACACACCAGGTGTTTAGAGATGAGTAAGTGAGTCTTTGCCTTCAGGGACCTTTTTCTTTCTAATGAGGGAGACAGGACACAATGGATAACAATCGTACAGAATGCTAAGTGAAGTGATTGAAAACACACATACATTCACACATGCACAAATAAGATGATGGGAACATCTGATCTGCTTGGCCTGGGAGTTGTGATGGTAGAAGAGACTTTTGGAGGAGATGATTTTTGAGCTAACTCTTAAAGGAAAAGTAGGAGTTTGATGGTGGGAGAATTGGAGAAGGACCTCTTGTTGAATGATTAACTTTGTAATGATTTCTGGTAAAGTAGATCTAATTTTGCTTGACTAATAATAGATATTGTAAACATTAATTCATTACTTTCAGATGTAAACACTGAGCTTAGTACTTTATGTAATACAATTTTAATTTTCTGAACAATCCTGTGAAATGGCTATTGATATTATCCACATGGTACAGATGAAGAATTGGGGCTTAGAGAGCTTTAGTAACTTGCCCAAGTCACACAGATCCTAAAGTTAGAGATGAGTAAGTGAGTCTTTGCCTTCAGGGACCTTTTTCTTTCTAATGAGGGAGACAGGACACAATGGATAACAATCATACAAAATGCTAAGTCCTTTCAGTGAAAGGACTTAGCATTTTGTATGATTGAACTTTATCATATGGTAGTTTTAGCTATAACTTTGATGGGTAATGTCTTATTGAAATCAAAGCACAGAAAACTCGCATGGTTAGATTGCCAAAAAAGATGTACTGTCCCCACAATGAAGCTCTGACACCCATATGATTCTCTCTGCATTCTAATAAATTCTTTTTTCTCAGTGGTGTCTCTTGGAGAAAAAATAAATTCAGGTAAGAAGTTTAGTCATTGGGGTTTGGAGTCAGGCAGGATTGGGTTTGAATCCTGCATCTGCTACTTGTTGGCCTGCAGACTTTGGGCAAGTTACTTCTCTATTATAAATTTGGGTTTATCGACTATAAATGGAGTTAATCTTACCAACATAGGATTGTTGTGAGAATTAAACTAGAAATATGTAAAATGTTTAGCATATTACTCAACACTTAGTAAGTCCACCATTCTTGTTATTAGCAAAGTATTTAAAGGAATTGATCAATAAATTGTAGCTGTTCTTACCTTCTGAAAGTTTCATTTATTTTGTGTCAGACATCTGGACTCTGAAATATGGATAAAACATCATTGTGGATAAAACATCAAGAAAATTGACCAAATTGTTCAGTTTGTCGATGGTAATGGAAATAATAGCAATTATTTGGAAATTAACCTAATACCACACCTTGAGTCAATCCTTCTAAGAAAATACATGTTAGTTATGAAAGAAGATTTTTCTCATTGTCTATTTATGTGATTTATTCTCTCCTTAAACAAATAGCTTCACGGGCCGGCCGGGTGGCGCGATGGTTGGGAACTGGCTTGGGA